GTAAATTTCCATGGCTCCTCTCATTAAACTGCTCATGTGGCAGGATATGTAAGTTCTCAGCCACAGGGAAAGAGAACTCACTGTTTTGATGTTGAAGTTTCTTCTTTTTGACTTCTTCCTTTTTTTTAGATCATTTCTATCACAATCTCCAAATGGTTATCAGGTCTACCAACAAGCCCATCTTGACTTTTACACTGATCAGATAATTAAGACCATGCCAGGATAGAACCAGTTCCTTCAGCAAATTGATTATGATGCTTTAGTCTTAACAATTTTTGTAAAAAAAAAAATATATTTATTTATTTGTTTTATTGTGATTTGGGTGAAAATTTACAGAGCAAATTCACTTTACATACAGTAGTTCACATACACTTTGTCTCATGACATTGACCACAATTCACCACACAATGTAACAGCTTCCCTCCCACTTCCTCTTGATAGTTACCTCTTCCCTGTGTCCATCCCTCCATGCACCCCTGCCCCGAGAGCTGTCTCCCTGTGCATAAACAGCCCTTTTTTCTCCCATGATTGTTCTCTCCAAGGAGTGTATCTACCTCAGGTAAATGTTCAACTCATATGCCTGTCTTTTGCTTGGCTGGAAGCCACAGGTGTGGTTCAATTCTAGACCTGAAAGGCAGCTAGGGGCCATAGTCTCAGTGGTTCCACCAGGCTCTATCAGACCAGCAAACCTGGTCCCCCCCTCTTTTTTTTTTCCCCCAAAATGCTTTTGATTCTTAACAATTTTTATAGAGGGCAGACTTTTTCTGGCATTGGTCCCCTGGAGCACTGTTCAGGGGCAGTTCCATCCACTACAGAGACAGAACCTTGTGATTTCATAGATCAGGTCTCTCTCCTACACCACATACTTCATCAGTTGACAAGATTTCAGACTCAGTCCAAACTTCCCGGTTCCAGTTCCAGTCCAGGTCCAAGCAAAAGCTGCTGTCAGCAGCATAGTGTCAGGAGCAGAGCACTACTCTCATTCATATCCAGCTCCTTTGGCTCTGAGAGATCCCAAAAAGTGTGATGTCTTTTTTCCCAAAGTACTGAATACTCAATCCTATTGTTTCTTCAGTTATTGCCTTAAATGTCCCTTCAGGGAAATCTGATACACCACCTACTTAAACCAAGTTAGGGCTTCATGAGATTTACTGTGATCATTAATTCTATTCCTACTTTTCTTCTACCTGATCTAACTTATCCCCATCTCATCTCATCAACAGGAAGTCTTTTATACCTACTCTGTACCAGGTATTAAATTTACCTGGTACAGAGTAGGTATAAAACATACAGTAGTGAACAAACATCAAGAAATTTCTCCCCTTATTGAGCTTCCATTTTAATGGGAAAGAATCAGCTAAATATACAAATAAGTGTCCATATATCAATAAATACATTGAAATCATACTTTAAATTACCAAAAAAAAAAAAAAAAAAAAGCAACACTCCAGGTTACTAATAAAGAATGTTGACAAAAAAAATAAAAATAAAAAAGAAGTAAAAGGAAAGAATGGTATAAGCATGATGATGGTATAATTCTATTTGGGAGGAATACTAAACAGATGAATATGTAATTAATTAGAGCCTAAGAAATACACTAAGTCTTTTCTTGAATGCAGACAGAAAAAAGAATTAAGGATTTGGGTAAATAAGGAAGTGGAGTGAAGGTCAACTCTATGGAACAAGTCTCAGATCTTTAAACCCAAGTTCCACTTGTTTCCAACCTAAACAAGTAAACCTAGATAAATAGTGTAACTTTCCTGAGCCTTGGAGTCACTATCTGTAAATGAAAGAAAGATACTTTCTCCTTCACAGGTTTGTGGACAACTTAAAAAGACAGAATTATTTGTGAAAATTCTTTTTCTTTTTTCTTTCTTTTTAATTGTGATTTGGGTGAAAGAGCAAATTCACTTTCCATACAACAGCTATTTGTGAAAAAATTCTTAAAATAGTGTCTGACACATACATAAGCCTTCAATACATTGTTTTTGGATCTGACTATGAAACCTAAGTGACGAAATCAAAAGTAGGGTTGTGGAGTGAAAATCGGCCCTGAAAAACACTCCTGTGGACTTATAAATAATGATACCCCAACAGCAATGAACACACCCAGCAACCAGTTTTTGGTTTCTAACATCATTCTCCAATAAAAGGAACCAGGGCTACAGGAAGAAATGGCTGATTCTAGGACTGTGGCAGGGAATATACAATATGATCCCGAAGCATCTTGTAGTACCAAAAAGTAAGGAAGTGCTATAATCAAAACAAAATAAATAAAAAGATACAAATACACACACACACACACAAACAATAATTCAATCTTGTCAAAGGACACAGAAGGTAACTGGAAAAACTCTTAATGGCCAAAGCTGGAACAATTTGAGCAACAAATAAATAAAATAGTATTGGATTATAACCTAAAGTATAAAATAAATATTCATGCATCCATATGATGTAAATAAATAAGTAAATTGGGAAAGAAGAAACAAATCTCCCCTGCAGAAAAATTTCAAATAATTTATGTAGATACTCCACCCTCAAGAATGTGGAGCATAACTCATCTTCTTCAGTGTGAACTGTACATAGTGAATTCCTTCCAAAGAGTACCCACTTTATATTATAGAACTCACTGCCATTGAGCCAGTTCCTACTCATAGTGACTCTATATCAGAGAGTAAAACTATCCCATGGTTTTCCAAGCTTGCAAATCTTTACAAAGCAGACTGCTTCATCATTCTTGCATGGAGCAGCTGGTGGGTTTGAACTGCCAACCTTTTGGTAAGCAACTGAGTACTTCAACCACTATTTCCACAGTATAGAAAGGGGTTAAAATTAGTTGCTTTACAGTAGAAAAACCTGAAAACACTACTTCAGCCAGGTGATCAAGGTTAGTATCAACAAAGACGGTCATGCCGATGGTCTGTATCCTTGATATAGGATGAAAATGGTACTTTATCTCTGTCGTCTTTCTCCAAAGAAACCATAACCTTAGTTTAATCATGACAAAAACATCAGAAAAATCCACATGAAGCATATTATACAAAATACTTGGCCAGTACCATCAAAACTGTCAAGGTCATAAAAAATAAGGAAGTCTGAGAAATTATCACTGTCCAGAGGCACCTAAGGAAATATGACTGCTAAATGTGTGTGGTGTCTTAGATGGTATCCCAAACCAGAAAAAGAACATTAGGTGAAAAACGAAGAAAATCTTGGTAAAGTATGGATTTCAGTTAATAGCAATGTATCAATACTGGCTCACTAGTTGTGGCAAATGTACTATATTACTATATTAATATTAAAGGAAACTGAGTGTAGTGTATATATGGCAACTCATTGTGCTATCCAGGCAATTTTCTCTGTTAATCTAAAACTGTTCTAAAGTTAAAAAAAAAAAAAAAATTTTAAAAAGTAAGAAAGAAAAACACTCTTGCAATAACTGACCTCTAGCAATATGAAAAAGATTCCTACAATTAAATTAAACCACGATAGGAAGCAGAGTTAGAAGAGAGTTATATGTACCCAAAGTTTGAAGAAGAGGTTTTTCTGTCCATTAATTTAAGCCTTTGTTTGCCTCTGCTTTTTCTTGGCTACAATTTCAAACTCAGAGTGTATTGCTTTTTTATTTCAATTTAGGGATAAGAACAGCAGAATGAAACTCTGATGTCTGTTTTAAATTTAGTGGCAATTCTAAAGTCTGAGGCTTTTTTATTTGAAATTTAGGATTTCCAATGTAACACATAACTTTTTCAGTAGTTTTGTTGCAATTCTGTCAGCCTGTCTCTTTGTTACTTTCAACAGGGCTAGCCCTGCCCACCTCACTTTGTGTTTAGCATGATACCAATTGATAGTTCCAAAATGCAAAATAGTTTTATTGTGAGCTCTTGCTTTCCTGGTTTGATTTTTCTACAATATAGGTCAGTACATGCCCCTCCACTGTGACAACTTGCACCTTCCTCCCCTAGTAAGGGGCACAGTTCACATCATGTTGAGCTGAGCAATAATCAGAAAGGAGAGCATGAGAAATAGTCATTGCATTATCCATTAGACACTCGATCGGTATGTTACTTCAAGAATTACAATGTCAGAACTTGACCACCAACAATAATATCCCATTCTGAGAGAAAGTGAGAGAAAGGAAAAAGAAAAAGGAAGACTTCATTGCTTAAGGTCCATTGTAGTTTCCTCCAGTTTTCCTAAAAAGTAAATGCAAAGCAAGCAGGAGGAAACATCCCAGGATTTTAAATCTCATGAGACCAGAATCTGTGAAAATCCTGTTTAAAACCATCCCGTGAAATTGGTTTTGGGACATACCTCCCGCTACTTGATCACTCAGCTTCTGCATCTTTCTAACAATCACCCTGCTGGACGTCCCCTGAAGACACAGCAGCTGGCTAAGTCTCCAGACCAGACTTCTCTAACTGAATGTACAAGTGCAGATGGAAATGATAAAAGTAATTCTGGCTCAGCAGCTACGAACTCTCCACAGCTTTTCCCCTCACAAGTGTACTGCCTATTAGCCTCACTTTGGGGACTTTCAGAAGCCAGGAAAACTCTGACACTCCCCTCCTCCAATCCTCAAAGTGTGGCAGGAGCCTCCGAGTGATGCCATCTTGGGATTTTATCATCCCTTAAGTGATGAGTTTTACATTCAGATCACGTCCCTGAATCTTTGAAAACTTGTCCAACTTTGCAAGACGTTGAGAACCTGCTGGTCTGGACCCTTAATTTTCTCTAACTAGAATTGCCATAAGCAGAGGCTATCCAAGATAAACCAAGGCGACTCGCGACGCTCGCCTCCCGGCTCCCCGCACAGCGCCCTGCCCGCACCCTGGATGCCCGGCTTGCGGAGCGAAAAGTCAGATGCTCCGCAGCCCACCCTCTTTCCAAAGCCCCCGCCCGGACCGCCGCGGCGAGCGTGGCTTGGAGGGGCTGGGGGTCCGGGGGCAGGTGGTCCAATCAGGAGTGGGTGGGAGAGTGGAGGTACAGGAGCAACTTACAGCCCAGGGCGACCACCAGGTAGCGCAGCAGCAGCAGAAGGAGGCGGTGGTGGCTCCTCCTCGCCATCTTCCCGGGGGCCAAGCTGGCTACTCCTCCAAGGCCAAGGGTCCAGGCGGCAGGAGCGCTGGCGGCGGTTCTGGAGCCCCAGCACTTCTGGTGAGGGAATGGAAGAGGTGGAGGGGCGGGACCTGATGGATCTCAGGTTCCCGTTCTCTGGGAGACTTTGTAAATCGTTGTCAGGAGGCAGGTCTTCCTTGAGCCCCGGGATAAGGGGTCCCGAGCTCTTCTTTTTTTTTTGGGGGGGGGGGTGTTGAGAGGAAGCCAGACAAGGTGTCCACGGGATCCCAGGGAGGGCTCAGGGGGAGGAGAGGGGTGGAAGGGAAAGCCTTGCGGGTCGCCCGCGCCGCGGGATTGATCGGCTTTGTGTCTGGCAGGCCGGGGTTGCCAGCTGTCCCCAGAGCGAGGAGCCGGGGGCGGGGGCGGGGGCGCGGGCCGGAGGGGGCGGTGAGCCGAGGTACTGCGCCTGCCCCGCTCCAATTCCTCGCTTCCTCTCCTTGGCACAAAACTTTGGTTCTCAACCTCGGGGTGGAGAATTTTGAGAAATATCAGAGCAATGAGCGAAGCTGCGGGTGAGGCGCCCCAGGAGATGGGGGTTTATGGGCTTTGCCTCCGACCCGAAGGGGGAAAAAAAATATATCAAGATTCATGCAGGACAGCAGTTTCATATTTGAGCTGCTGGTCCTTTCATATTTGACCCTTGGTCCTTTCTTAGTTTAAGCTCTTTGCTCTTTGGAGTGTTAAGGTGTGTTTTGTGTTCTTTACTTTTCCACGTGTCAGAGTTCATCTAACGGTGTGAAATATTTATCATGTTTCTTTTCAGTTACATAACTGCCGCCTGTGGAGTTTACCACATGTTAAAACTCTACAGCTGCCCTTTGTCAGGTTTATTTTTGGTATACTGTGCTTTTAAAAGGGAAATCCATTATGAATGCTCTGTTTCATGGTTTAAAATGGACCCGCACTTATACTGCACACACTACTAAGGCCAAACAAGCAATTTTTAAATTAGGTCCTAGAGATCAAAAAATGTCTGGTACATTTAAGAGCTTCTACTAGGACGGGTCTTGAAAAAGGCCATTCCTGGGAGAAAATATTATATATATAATATACACACTATATATAGTATGTATATAATATACATTATATATATATAATCTGTATCTATATCTATAGATATTTAAAGATAGAATCATGGATAAAGTTCTGTATAGAAGACAGTTGATTGAGTGGTGTACACACAAAAAATTCAGCTAGTTGAGTGGACAAAGGCCACCAGATCTCAGATATGCAGAGCTGTGAGGACTGAGGCATCCCTGCTGTTGCCTTGGTGACAATGATGGAAGCTTAATGACTGTGGGAGAGTGTGGGGGAGGAGGGACAGAACCCAGAGGCCCAAAAAGGAAAGTCACAATGGCACAAATGTTAGAGCATTCACTCATGTCATAGGAGAATAAGGGGCATATTTGTAAGCATAAGCTTATGCTAGTTTTTTTGGGTGGTAACAGGAAAGCTTTTAAACTTCCAAAGAAAAGTTATTGGTGTTCTCTTCTCTTAGTGTTGTTTCAACTATGTGTCTCTTTTATTCCTTCCTAAAAATGCAAAAAAGGCACACTTGAAAAAAAAAAAAAAATTCTGTGACATCCTATGTGAGTAATTGATTCACTCAGTTATTTGTCCTTCAGCCAAGCCATTTGTCAAATGGCCACAATGTACCTGATGTTGGAGGACAATGATGAACAAGACTGAGCCTTTATTGCTGATGAACTCAAAGTCTTTAGGAAAGAGAGAGAGTCCACTCTGGAAATAATTCTGATGAAGCAATGATACATGTTAATGAAGGACCCAAGACAGTAACAGCTGTTACTGATGCTTTCTCTATAGTATAGGCCAAATAATGCAGTAGCTAATCCTCAGTAAGGGAGGTAACATTATCATTCCCATTTTACACATGAGAAAACTAGGTGAAAGATACTAAATGCCTTCCCTAAGTCAAGGGTACAGGATGATCCTTCTGTTGGGGAAGAGGAGAGTAGCCTCAGCTGATTTCTTTATTGATAAATAGTTTCCCCTGGAGTCAGTTCTGACTCATAGATAACTATGTGTGTCAGAGTACAACTGCGCACCATAAGGTGTTCAATGGCTGATATTTCAGAGCTAAATCACAGGCCTTTTCTACTGCAGCACATCTGGGTAAACTGGAACCTCCAACTTTTCAGTTATCAGCAGAGCTCATTATTCACCCAACCCAAACCCACTGCCATCCATTTGATTCCGACTCATAGAGACCTCCATTGGGTTTCCAAGGCAGTAAACCTTTACAGAAGTAGATTGCCCCATCTTCCTTCCATGGAGTGGCTGGTAGGTTTGAGCTGCCAACCTTTTGATTAGCAAATATCTTAGGCCACCAGGGCTCCTTACTATTCACCCAGGGACTCTTTATTAGGCCTTGGAAAATGAGGCAGAGTTTTCAAAGGAAGGACATTCTAGGTAGAGGCAAAGAGCAGAATCAGAAGCTGGGAAATCTGAAAATACATGGCTCTTGTAGGGACAGTAAGGTACTATAGCCAAGAGTATATGTGGAATTGGAGCAGATGAAGTGGTAGCAACTGAAAAGGAGGTTGGATTATGAATCAATACATTACAGACTGTGGGAGCTCTGGTAGCATAGTGGCTAAGGCACTTGCCTGCTAACCAGACGGCTGGCGGTTCAAACCCACCAGCCACTCCTTGGAAGGAAAGTTGGGCAATCCTACTTCTGTAGTGATACTGCCTCGGAAACCCAAGGAGGGGTCGCTATGAGTCGGGTTTGACTCGACGGCACATAACAATGACAAAAATATTACAGACTGTAGTCCTTATCCTATAGGAATGAGTTTTTGGATTTTTTTTTTTTTTTTTTTTTTTTAGAACACTAGGTAGGCTTGGAAAGATCTAAATTATAGAGCTGTCTTATTCAATATGGTAACCTCCAACCCCACGTGGATATTTAAATTTACATTTAATAACTTTACATTTAATAAAATTTTAAATTCAGTTATCCAATTGTAGTACCCCATTATAGCACAGAGATAGAGCATTTTCATCATAGCAGAAAGTTCTATAGGATAGTGCTGTCATAGACTGATGATTCTTGTAGAAACGGAGGATGGGTGAAATAAGACAATAAGGCTATTAGATAAATCTAAAAACTATTGGCAGTATTTCAAGAAAGAATGAGAAATGCCTGAATGGTCACAGTGGGATGAGTGAAAAAGCAGGTAGATTCAAATGATGTTTTATAAACCCTTATGTCACCAATTAGATACAGGGATGAGAAAGGGGAGAAAGGTTTGAGAAGGGTTGGGTGAGGAACATTTAGCTGAGATGACCGGCAAACTGTTAAAAAGATAGATCTTGAGCTCAGGAAACCCTCAGGATCAATTAAGGAATAAATGTAAATATCATCACCTCCTAAAACAGTAATCTCCAAATCTGGCTGCTCCTCAGAATTCTCTAGAGATTCTTCCCCCACCCCCTCCTTTGTGATTTTGGTGAAAGTTTACAAAGAAAATTCATTTTCCATATCTTAAATATGATTCTTAAATATATTCTCTTAAGAGGTATTCTTAAATATGATTCCCAGCTTAAAATGTTGTTAAAATTCTGAGTGCCAGGCTCTAACTCTGGAGCTTCATTCAGTGACACCTGGGAAGCTTTATTCCCTACAGCACTCTACTCAATTCTTAAGCAATCAGTTCTTGGACTGATGTTCAGGGACCTCTCTGGAGGACAGAAGAAGTCATGAGAGTGAATGGATTCAATCAGACAAAACAGTGGACATTTATCTTGTGGTAAATCTACAGAAGTGACTACAATAAGAGGAGGATGATCCAGAGAAAGGGCAAAGCATGAAAAGAACTAGAGATAATTAATAGCCAAAGATGGAGATGCATAGGGTATCTGGATTTGGTCATTAACCACTGGGACAATAGAGAAAGCCAATCTCCAAATACTTGTAAAAAATTTTTTTACAGACTTGTGTTCTATATTTGAAAAAAAAAATAGCTAATGCACAAGATAAAAACAAATAATGAAATGGTTAAAAACAGTAGCATCAGCAGCAGGAAGGTGAAAGGAATAGCAATAGCCAAAACTACTTCATTAATGAATGGCTGGAAGCAGGCTTCATTACTGCTTGCCTTATAAGAATCCTGAGGCCAGCAGCAAAGGACACTTTATAGGGAGGAATGGTGAGGAAATTCCATGGAAGTCTTTTTCATTTCCTCTAAATTTTTTTCTATTCTACATCATCATACTGTCTTCCCACACCTACATACCTGTCATAACCACTTTCATTCAGACATTTTAAACAGTTTTGCCAGGTGTGGTGGTTTTGTTCGTGTGTCAACTTGGCTGGGCCTGGTTGAGTGGCTGGGCAGTTGGTGGCAGTTATTCCCCATGACGAGACTGGCAATCAACTTCATGGTGAGATCTACCACAAGCAGCTGAGTAGCTGCCTTTGGGAATGTGGTCTGCTTCCTGTATTTAAGGAGAAGCCTTGGGAATGGTCTCTAGCCTTTGGCACGCTTGGACCCTGCATGTAGCCGTGTTGTTGCTCAGCAGCCTGCTATGCTTTGCCAACCTTGGGACTTACAGTGGACTTAAGTTAATGGCGTGTCATATGGATTGCTAACATCGGGACTGTGCCTTTTTACTTGTCAACCTTGGGGCTTCTCAGCCTCAGCAGCCAACAGCTGGCTGAGTGAAGAAATGCCTCTAGTTCAAGTGGGCCAGGAGCAGGAGACAGAGCTGGTCCCAAGGTTGAGGGGCTTTCATCCAGCCCCTGGAGCCTGGCACTTTGAACTTGGGCATAAATCCTCCAAATTGTAATAATAAACTCCCGTTTGTTAAGGGAAATCCCATTTGTGGTATTTTCTTGTCAGAGAGGCACTAGGTAACCAGAATACCAGGTAAACATAAATGGAAACTTGATGTTTTAGGACATCTTGCCATATTTTATTCTTTCCACTCTACTTCCAAAATCAAAGTAATGCTGGGGAGGTGCCGAGGCACATTTCCTAAAACAAGCAACAAAGAAAAGGGCTGGGTT